TATTGAATTTGATTGCATGAATTTTGAGCTTTAAAGTAATTTCGAGGTGATTTAATGCTTCTCAAGGCAATTCATTGTGTACCGTTGTAGTTAAGCTGCTCGGATTAATGTTGATTTCTGATATTTATCGACACTAAAGTTATTTCGTACATGAGTATTATATTATATGTATTGAGGTAATATGCTTCCACTCACAGGTATGTACATACATACATACATATGTACATATAAAGTAACTATAACATACTTAATCCTCAATGCAGTAAATATTTAAAGTATCCAGTAAAGCCTTTTCGATTTATGTCTTACGGATACATACAAGTACATACATACATACATTAATATTGTAGTATATATGTGTGTTTGCTCATAGGTGCGGCTGCTAAGAAACTCTAATGCAAATTTGTGTTGAACAAGTTTTAGGTTAATAAAATAATGATTAAACATATTTAAATAATATTTACTCAACTCGATTGCGTAAAATTCAGTAGCCAACTCATAAGCAAATTAAATGTTTTTTGCATAAAATTAATTTAATAACATTTATGCATATATGAACATGGTATTGATTTATTAATTAATAACTTGTTTGATTTATTGCACGCAAAAATGTCAAAGAGTAATTATTGAATTATTTTCAAGTTGTTTTTAACACCTGGAAATGAAACCTAATAGTTGAATTGAACTCATAAATAAAAAAATTAATAAATATAAAAAAAATTAATAATAGAAAAGCAATAACAAATAAAACACTTGAGCACGAAATATCAGGTGTACAACTTTGCTTCCGCCGTTTTCCGATAGGTGGCTGTACCGGCTGAGGCTGGTTGAAATACATAGATGGTAATGGCTTTAAAGTGAGTATGGACAGTGCCTAACGAATTGTCATCGCCGTTTCAGTGTCAGTTATTCTTGTTTTCGTATTATTCACGCTCGAAAATGTCCGTTTATGTGCTTACTTTCCTGTTACAATTCGAAAAAAAATACAGCTGAAGCGCATCGATTGCTCTCAGAAACTTACGGTGATGCTGCTCTGAGTGAAAGAACGTGTCGGGAGTGGTTTCAACGTTTTAAGAATGGTGATTTCGATGTCGAAGACAAACAAGGTTATGATTTATATTTGGTGGGACCAGCTCGGTGTGATTTACTCGAGTTCTTAAAACTGGGTGAAACCATCACAGGAGATCGCTACCGAACGCAACTGATGAACCTTAGTCGCGGCCACAATATCAAGAGCGACATGACAAAGTCATCCTCCAACACGACAATGCTCGACCTCACGTCGCAAAAGTGGTCAAAAAGTACCTGGAAACGCTGAAATGGGAAGTCTTGTCCCACCCGCCGTATTCCCCAGATGTCGCCCCTTCTGACTTCCACCTTTTCCGTTCGATGGCACACGGCCTGGCAGATCAACATTTTCAGTCCTTCGAAGGATTGGAAAAATGGATTGCTTCATGGATAGCGTCAAAAGAGGACTCCTCTTTTCGAGCCGATATCCGAAAATTGCTGGAAAGATGGGAGAAAGTTGTCGCTAGTGAAGGACAATACTTTGAAAAATATATCTGTAAGCACTTTTTCGCAATAAAGCTATTATTTTTGGAAAAAAACGGCGAAAGCCAAGTTGTACACCTGATAAGTAGCCCAAAAATAGAGGACCATCAGTGCCAGACCACATAAGCTTGGTAATCAATTGACATCACCGAGACGAGAGATTACGCGGCCACCATCTTGTTGAATCCACTTATTGTACCAGCAATGTTCTTCAATTGCCGGCTAAAAAAAGTAGGTTTTTTTATAGAATTTAGGTCTAATCAAACCTCCGGACCAAAGAGTGTATCAGGCACACTTCTCTTCAATTATTTGAGAATTTTGCTTATTTACGTATCTCCCGAGTGAGAAATGTGCGTCTTCGTCAGCTGGCTTTAGTTGTTGTGTGATCTGTACTTTATATGGATGCAGGTGTAAGTCCTAATGCAAAATATAATGTGACTTAAGAAAGTCCAAACACATGAGAAGACTTACAGTGCCGATGTTTGAGGTGAAACGAGCAAACCGTGGGCAGGCCCTAAAATATCTGTGACCGATCCAATATCTTCAAATTTATTAAAAACTGTACCACTTGCTGGAGAAGTTGGACCATTTTCTTCTCTTAAAGCACGAAACGTAGCCAAATTTAAATCCCCCTTTTTATAGTAGGTTTCAACAAATTTAACGCGTTTTGTGGTTGTTAAGCGAGCCTGACTTGTAAATAAAACAAAGCAGCCTTGTACATTTGAAGCCACTAGCAATTCAATTTTCTTCTTCTCTACCAAATTTTTCCTACAGAATTAAGGTATTTCCCTTCCTCCGCACCCACCTGCGGGTACTGCATCGAACGATGGGGGACTTTCATCAAGTTCAGCCGATGTCGACTGATCCGCTAACTTCATACAGCTCATTGTTCTATCGTGATCATTAATCTTCCTCATAACCTCTCCCTTGTTGAATCCCAAAACCGACTCGTTTCCATCGGATATTAAGGCTTGGGATGGTTTAAGTTTTAGCCTTATTGAAGAACGACAACCGCTGGCAGTCGCAGCTCTGGCGAACAGACTAATATGCAATTAGACTTCAGCGAACGTGGCTCAAGTCTTCACACTAGACTCGTTTAAAGAGGACGATACGTTCATGCAAATAAATATAAACCTTATACTTAATATATATATATATATATATATATATATACATAAAGCAAGATCCATATTACAGATTGTAGCAGGACGGCTAGTCTATCGAAAATAAGATGAGTAACGGAAATATATCCTTCGGGTGGAGTCCAGAAGTGGAAATTCATTCACAACTTACAATGATTCCACAATCCACAAGCCCCCAACTCAGATAAGTTAAGATCGTCAAACCAAATCTCGGAAGTGAACCTTGGTAAAGTAGGAACATGGCAACCAAGAGCGCAGTATTCAGGGTATAGCAGAACTTATGAGCGCCCTCTTCGATGCCAGAAAATAAAAAGCGAGCTCATCGTTTGTGTGGTAATGGTCAGATGATCTTAATTTAATGTGGCGTGCTTTCCAAATCGACACTCTCGTTTTATTAGAAGAATACTATTTAAACGCGCTCAGATGTGGGTTTTGTGCAGCAAATATCAGCCGAGACTTCGATCAATAACCAATTAAAAATGTTTTGAAGAAGTCGGCACTGATGTCTCTGATTGCATGAGCAAGCCAATTGAAATGAAATCTTGATAACTAAAACCGAAAACTTTTGTAAATGCATGGAATGAGAAGCAGCTATAACAGCTCTATGAGCACTTCCATGGAAATCATTATAAAGCCAATAAATACGTATCCAATTCTTGCCATTGCAATAACAACTAGGCGTCTTAATGGCTCAGTTTCTGAAATATAGAGTCATACATTTCGTGGTTTCAAAGTACAGGGCTGTATTTTGACACCAGAAAACTTGATTTTCGAAGCCAACATGTTTTGTTTTAGTTGGATGTCAGGCCTTTATGAAAATACTTGCACGATGCGTTGAATTTGTTAAAGCCAACAACAAAAATAATGATTCGAAAGTGACTCCGTGCTCAAAGATGAGATAATGGTCGCTCAAGCATTTTGTGAAATTTTAAAGAAATTTTTTGAGGCTGGATCAATCACAGATATTGTAATTCCTGTCCATGTTTTGCTCGTTGCACCTCAATTATCGCTACCATAAATGGTGGAACAACAAGCAGTGGACGGCGATTTTTCGAAGAAAACTTTCTTCAGTGATGAGACACCGGGGCTCCTCAAATAATTGAAAAGAGGCCATTCTACTTCTTTATTGGCGTTGGCACCGCTTACGCGATTTTAGCCGCAAAGTGGCCATTACATCAAAAACAAAAAAACAGTCCTATTCGTAAGAGTTATTGGACCTTACTTTTGTGAAAACGACAACGCCGTAACTGTCTCTCCGTCGGCGAAAACAATTAGCCACCGAAATCCTGCGACTTGATATCGTTGGGTTTTTTTTGTGGAGCTAAATGAGAGACAGTTTGACTCTTGAGGACTTGAAACCCAACATTCGTCAAGTTATGCCTAATATTATGCGTCAAAAAGTGGTCGAAAAATACTTCAAACAGATCAAAGCTTGCAGTGTTTCACATAGTTTCGTGGTTCAAACTTTTTAATAAAATAATTGATTTCATGAAAGACATTTTTCTCATTTTATATAAGTATATGTTCTAAAACACTAAATGCCTAGCCCTGTATTTCAGTAACCCTCCCATGATTTATTTGATTTTATTAAATTATTATTTCGTTTTTTTTTTTGTTTTTTTTTTTGTAATGGAAATATGGGACACTCTAGTTGTTTCTATTAAATTTGAAACAAATTTTCAAGTTTTCTTTGATTTAAGATACATCTACTTATGCAAGAAATTATATGATTGAAAAAATACCCGTTAGACTAAGCACTCACCTTTCTCCTCACTGTTTCAAATAAAACAAGATATTTTTATGTTTTTTTTTTTTAATTTTCTTAGCATAAATTTAAATGATTTTTATTGATGTATTAAATATTAAATTAATTTAAATTGATATTAAATATTCTATACATATGTATGGATGTATGTATGTATGTAATGGTTTTATTATATATATATTTGCACATATGTGTTGTTGTTGTTGTTGTTGTTGTTGCGTGTACTAGTACGAGATTACACACAAAATGTAAACTAACAACATGTTGTCAGTAGTTTATCACAGTCGAAAATTTTACTTAATGTTTATACATATGTATGTATGTATGTATATTTTAAAATTTGATATTAGTATTGGGTTTCATTTGTTTTTATTGTTTTTTATTTTGTTTTATTTTTTTAAGTTGTTTTTTTAACTCTTTAATCTCTTACTCACTGTTCAGTTTACGATTTTTAATAATTTTTCACTTAAGACTAAATAGTTTTAATATATTTTTTTTATTAATTGTGTGTTATTATAACAATTTTATTATTATTATTTTTCTGATTTTAGAGTTGTTGTTAGTTTTAAAAATTAATTTTATAAGTATTTGCACAAAGTCCCAGATGTGTGAAGAAAAGGAAATGTCTGCAAGAAAATGAAAGAAAATTTTTAAAAAATTTTTAATTCATGAAAAAAACCTATAATAAAAAAAAATTAAAAAACTGTAAATTAATAATTTAATAACTACAAATAAATTGAAAACATATTTTTAAAAGTTTCGAGTAATAAAAATAAAAAAAAATTAGAATATAATTAAATTAATTAAAAATTTATAAATTAATCACTTAAAAAAATTTTAATTATATTTAAAATAAGTTTCGATTAATTAAAAAAATCTGTCTGGAAAATATATAAATTTATTTAAATATTATAACTCAATAATAAATTATATAAATAATAAATTTTCAATAATTTTAATTAATTATTAATTTTTTTTGAACACTGTTCGCACATACCTTACTGTCTGAAAATCTTACAGTCGAATGAAATTCTGCCGTATATGCCCATCGACTTTTAAACGGGTGACACAAAACCAGCGATTTGTTGACTATCCGAGGAGAGAAAGAAATGAAAAGTGTTCAAACCTCTGTCGAGTTACTCTCCGCACTTCGCACTCACCTCTTAAACGACGCTTTGTAAGGCCCGTCATTCGACTGTAAACGTGGCGAGTCTGCTGAACTGCAACTACTCGAACCGCTCGAACTTTCATCACGCGGCGAGTACTCATCGTAACGCGTCGAATAGTTCATTGCGTAACCCGTTGGCATACCGTTACTATGACCATATACGCCGCCACTAGAGTTTAGACTCCCACCAACACCCGCATTACCATTATTGCGATAAGTAGCGATCGTAGGGATTTGCGAAGCGGTAAGCAATAGATTCGCTGCCACGCTCTGTTGTTTCATATTCGGCGGAGTTTGGGGTGGAGTATCGGGTTGGGCTTCGGGAAACCCCATCCCCCGCTGAGCCGCTCCGTATGGATGGTGTGCCGCGCTGGGGTTGTTGTGGCTGCTCGGTCGCATATGTGTGGATGTTGGGTGTGGAGGTGCCACGGTGCCCGCTGCTAATTGTTGAGCCGTAGTATTTGCCATAGTACGCGTGTTGGTAGGGATGGTATTGGTATGGGCTGGGACGTTGTTGTTGTTGTTGATGATGTTGCTGCTGCTGCTGATGTTGTTGTTGTTGTGATGGTGATTGGAGTTGTGGTTGTTGTTGTTGCTGTTGGTGCTGCTGCTGTTGTTGTTGTTGTTGTAGGGGATATTGTTCGTAGTATGCAGCTGCTGCATTGTAGCCCCTAGAAAACCCCCGTAAGCTGTGGTAGGCGGCGCCCGCGAGTAAGCTGTGCCGACGCCGTAATTGCTCATCATCATATGTGTTGCTGGCGGCGGTCCGCTCATCTGTTGCTGCGGCTGCAGCTGCTGCTGTTGTGACAAGCCCATATGATTGCCCATGCCGCTGCTGTTCACGTGCGCTTGTTGCATTGCATGTTGTTGCTGCTGCTGCTGCTGCGCCTGGCCCATGTATGCTGCTGCTTGTGCTGGCGGTGGGGTCTTGCAGGCGACTGTGTCGGCCAAACTCCAGATTTTGGGCTTGCTTGCTGGAATCGGCACGCCACAGTCCCGGCTCAGCTGGTTTTTTGGATCGCTACCATCGTGTTTGTTAATGTTGTTGTTGTTATTGTTGTTGATGTTGGAATTGCTGCCCGGCATGCCGCTTGTAGGATAACCGCTAGCAGCTAACAACGCCTGCTGATGCTGATAGTAAGCGGGATGTTGATGGTGATAGGGATGATAGCTGTGTGGGTGGCTTGAAGTGCCCTCTACGGCGGCATGGTAACCACCACCAGGTGTACCACCAACGCTGCCGCCCGAATAGCCAATGCCTGCGCTGCGAAGATCGCTCGCGTGTGAGCCTAAAGATTTGGACTCCTCATCATGCAGATCGTCATCGTCCTTGTCAAGCTCTGAAGGGATTAAAAATAAAATAAAGTTCAAATGAGCTTCCTGAAATCATGCTCTGACAGTTTGAGAGCAGTGGACTCAAACAAGAATATAAATTCGTTCGGAATTTCAGGGGAATTAAGAAAACACTTCGGATAAAGAATTCCCTAAATATCCTTTTTGGTTTTATTATTAAATTACTTAAGGATGGAAAGTGTTTTCTCACCTTTCCGCTGTCCGCCGCCGCCAATATTAACACCATGCAAGCCTTGTGATGACTTTTCACTCTCCAACTCATCCTTTTCCTTTTCGTCATCCGACGCCATTGCCTCATCATCATCATCGGTGCGATTCTTTGGCTCCCAAGTCATTTTATTCTCTTTCTTAAGACGTCGTCGTGCGTTGGCGAACCACGTGGAGACCTGCGTCAGCGTCATCTTTGTAATAATGGCCAACATTATCTTCTCACCCTTGGTGGGGTAGGGATTCTTTTTATGCTCGTTAAGCCAGGCTTTCAGTGTAGCAGTAGATTCGCGTGTGGCGTTTTTACGACGTGCTGCCAAGTCATAGCTGGGGCCATAGCTGAAAGAACAACAGGATAGGGTTTTTATAAGTATGAAAATGGAGTTTTATTAAAAACATTTTTTTGAATTATTTGCACTGAGATTGGAAGTGAAATCTTTGAGATATGTTTTTTTGGTCTAAAAATGGTTTACTATTTTATGACTTACTAAAATTACTGAACATAACGCATAGAATAGAGCCCCAAACCTACTTTAAAAAGAATTGCTTTAGCTTTTACCACACTCTCTTCCTGAGCATTTGTAGGAGGACAGCCTAAGCCCATTGCAAACGAAGAGCTAGTGAGAACCGTGCAACTCTGTTACAATACAAAACTGATTCAACTAGCAAATAAAACTTCTACTTTCTTAAGGTCCACTCTAATATTACCAAAATGTGTCTTAGCATGCTTCTCTTTACTCTTTGGGTGATTCATTTCGAGGTTCCCTGTTTAGGAATGATTATTATCATTCGAAAGAACATTTTTTCTTTCAAATGTGTGCCGCGGCTAAGTCTCACAAAGTTCAACCGTTGAGTCCAATTTTCGATGACTCGTTCGAGTATTTCGACGATATGATAACGATAAGATCTCACACGATCTTGATGGCCAATCAACCGATTCAAAACGTGAAATTATCTGCTCACCGAAGTGTTCTCTCAATAAATCAATTGATTGATGCAATGTGTGGGAAATGGCGCCGTCTTGTTGCCTTGTTGAATTCAAAAGTTGCCGAGATGACGTGCTCCAATTTCAGTTATCGAATAGTCGGTTATCATGGCGCGATAACGACCACCATTGACGGTCACGTTCTCACTGAGCTAGATATGGAACTCATCGCTGAATAAAATTTGACTCGAAAACGTCGGATCTTCTTGGAATCTTTCAAGAGCCCATATAGCGAAGCGGTGTTCCTTTCACATTAGCATCTCGACGTCAAAAGCGCCAAGTAGGTCCATAGGAAAATGTCGATAAAATTATAGCAACCGTAGAGTCTGAGCGTCGTTCGAGCACTCTTTTAACCCATTCTGAAACGGTGATTGGTACTGAAAAGTGGCATACGTCAAATGAAACGGATGTGGTTGAAGAGCCGTGAGTCAGCGGATGGAGCCAGGAATAACGATCAGAAAGGTTTTTTATTATTTTTGGTGGGATTGGCAAGGAATCATCTACTAGAAGCTGCTCCCTTGTGGCCAAACCATAAGCTTCCAGCAATTGAACTGTCTGAAGGGACCAATCACCTAGAAACGCCTAGATTTGACCCACAGCAAGGGGAATTGTGTTTCATCAGAGCAACGCCAGATCACACACATCGATAGTTACTCGCCAAGAGCGCCGAAAGCTTGCTTGAGAGCTACCTATGCGACCACTTTAGAGTCCGAGCCAAGGACAGTGATTTACTGAAGCCCGGCAATGATTTTTTCGTTGTAGCAAAATATGTTATTTTTGTAATAAAATTAACAAACCTTTTGCTTTGGAAATGAAATTTAATATTTTCACTTACTACTTTTTTTTTCTCAACATTTAAGCTCCTACATCCCGCCAACTATATACATATATATATCCTAATTAAATTCACGCCCCAACGCTAAGCTAATTAATTTTCCACGCTCCTTTAGAATCGCGAAAAAAATCATACTTCAACCGGCGTACACTCCGCGATATTACGAACTCATGTCAGCAAAGTGTGAAAAAATATCCTGCGGTAGCAAAAAGAAGGTAGGAAGATACCGAAATCAACGACATAAAGGAGGAAAGCGATTTCAAATCGAGGAAAATGAGCAGACGTGTAGTTGCTGCTGCTGTAACGACGAAATAAAGCTGCAACATATCCTTTAATCCACGCGCAGCAACAGCAACAGCAACAGGAGCGTAAAAAAGAGTAACAGAGCCAACAAAAAAAAAAAAAACAGCATGCATATAAACAGAACCAAATACATTAGTGGCACTCGCACCACGATCGAAGTAAGGGCAGGGGGAGGCATACCAGTTTTGGCACACAACGCACGCACTGCACGCTCCGCTTGAAACGGTGGCTACACCAACGCCGCCAGCCAGCACCGTCATGCACTCAACGGTGGAGCAGCGAAAATGAAAAAAAAAAAAAAAAAATGAGAAGCGACTTCTTTGCATTCGACGCACTGACGTTGCAAACAGACGCTGCTCTGCACCATACTGTTGCATGCCTCCTCTGCTACATACTAATACATTCACTGCTTTCCGCAATGGATTATCGGCGCTTGGTGGCTACATCCATCCATAGATGTTGGTTGTGTAGACTGGCAGCGCGCGTACCGTTGCATATTTTGTATGTGTGCCGCACCTTGGCATGTGCGGCATGCAACATGCCACCACGTCGCGGTACCTCATTGACTAACGTGATTTTTTGCCGCTTTATTTTCCACAATTTTTTTCTTCTTCTTCTTCATCAATTTTCATTTATGTTGCTTTCGTCTTTCCACAGTCTCTTTATTTCTTTAGTTTCATTTTATTATTTCTTTTTTTTCGTGTGGCATTTTTATGGTGCCGCAAGTATCAACAGCTTGTGCGGTGAATTTTACAACCTCAACTACTCAAAAGTACTCCTGACGCAACTTATGCAACTGTTCTGCATCGTCCAGTGGCTCGTTCGATCCGTAGAGTTAGCCTCTGGCCGGCGAATGCTGCTGGTCTTGTTGCTGCTGTTGCAAGTAACGTGCCTCACCGGATGTGCGCTATTTTTATTTTATTTTATTTTTTGCTATTTTTTCCTTTTCTATGATGCGTTCTTTGCATTTTTTTGTTGTAAATAAGGCTTTGATTTTACATTTGCTATTGGCATCACATGCATACATATATACTTTATCCGCTTGGTAAATCCTGTGGAGCGCTCTCTCGGAGAGTGTCCCTCAACACCCACTTATCTCTGTTGTCATTCCAGTAGCTGGAGATTTGCTTCAACACTTGTGATGCTGGGCGTTTGTTCAAATATCCACATTTGCACCCACTCCCTCAGCAGAATAGTTCGGAATTTTAAAATGGAAAGCATTTTTTTTATGATTTTTTCAAGGATGAAGAACAACAATAACCTTGGGCCAAAGCGCTCAGCTTATTTAGTTTTAAATATTTCATTCGCTGATTTTATTAGATTTGTTTTCACAAGTTTTTTATTTCCATTTTCTTTCTTGTCTTTCTTCAAATTTCCGCACATAAAATTATTATCTTTATTTTGTAACCATTTTGAACTCAACTGAAGAGTGATTCTTTATCGTGTGATTTCTTTAATTTATTACTGGAGAAAATAATACAAGCTGCTAAGCTGAATAGAGAAGGTGCAATCTTCTAGAAGAGTGTACAGCTGCTGGCGTAGGCCTATGATACTAACATTATTGGCCTCAACAACCGCGCCTGCTTTCCTCAGAATGAAGCAAATTACCTCTTGTCATCAAACAAACAGTCATCGCATTCGCGACTTGGCTCCCATGTCACTGTTCACACACACAGTGTATTTGAAGTGGTAGATGGCTTCGTCTGTCTTGGAATCAGCATCAACACCAACAACAATATCAGCCTTGAAATCTAACTCAGAATCACTCTTGCCAACAGGTGCTACTTTGGACTGAGTACGCAATTGAAAAGTAAAGTGCCAAACTCTACAAGTCGCTCATTTGTTCTCGTTCTACTGAATGGTGCGGAGGATTGAACGATGATAACATCTGATGAGTACGCATTAGGAGTTTCCGAGAGAAAGCTGAAATACCCCAACCGATGTAACGATGACCTACAAGAGACATTCAGCGATATTGAAGGCGGAACCAGAAGAAAAGGGAGACATACACTCCGTTGGAAGGATCATGTAGACAGGACCTGACTGTAATTGGTATTTCTAATTGGCGAAGAAATGAATGGCGCAATGTTGATAATTCGGCTGTAAGCGTAAGTAATGTATGTATGTATTAATGGTGCGTAGAAGTATTTTCTTACTCGGAATCGGTCTTGATGTGACCATTGAAAAATATTGGTCGAATCCCCGTCATGAAAACATCTAAGCGTGGAAAATTCAATATTCTACGAATCTAAATTCAAATAAATATTTACACCGACTATCATCGGAACCGAGTTTTGGGAATTTTCCGACCAATTTAGTCACAATCCAAGCACGTTTTTTCTTTTATTAAGAAGAAAATGGGGGGAGAAGCTTGAATTAATATAAATTATCCTACTGACTATACAGAATGCTCACTTTCAGGACTTCTAACCTTCCTTATCGAAATTCCTACACTTTCACTACAAACTTCACAAAATCTAAATACTTCTATTGTTGTAATTACGGTAATATTTAGAAAGCGCAGTCAATTTCACTAAACTTGGTAAACAATGTAGTGTTGACGCGCCTCAACGCCTCAGGCTTTTTACCAAAAAAACAAAAAAAAAAACATTTTGGCCGAATTACCACGAATTTACCGCCGCCCACGCAGTGCAAAAACAATCCTACCCGCATTAACTAATACAAACAAACGTGGGATAACGAACGAACCTCAAAGTGTGGTGATTTTGAAACATGAATTTTGCATTCACCGCCATGGCCACACAAAACATGCGCTTTAAGCGTGTCAAATTGGCCGAAAATGTGTGGTTCCATTATTGGCTGAGTGAGGTTGAATGCGCGAGCACACACACTCAAACACACACACATTCATACAGAGGCGAGTATTTATCAAAAAAGTGTAATTGTTATTTTGCTTGGCTTTTAATAATAGCAACTAGAAAATCACTAAGCTACATAAAGCTAACAGTAATTTTATGTACGAACATACATACATTTGTACATGTGTGAGTGGTGCGGCCAAAGCTCAGTAGAGCCACGAGTATGGTCACCAGTAAAAATACTACAAATATCGAACAAAACTTGTAATCTTGTAAACAAATCAAATTCTTGTTCACACAACAGCGCCAACAAAAACAATAATTGTATGGAGAAATAAAACAATAACAACTACAAGACAGAACAAATTACGCGCACAAGGTACAGGCTGGAAAAAATGCCGTTAAAAATGTAGTAAAACTGTGACAACAAAACTAACAACAACAACAACAAAAACGCACACCTATTATAAGTAATAACAACGACAAGCGCACTGTAATTAATACAACAACAACAAAAGCAACAACAACAAAAACAACAAAGATGTTAGAATTGTTAAACCAACAGCATTTCTGTCAGCCTACAACAACTAAAGCTGCTCCTCACATCCACAATATCCACCTTGACGTTGAGCGCGTCACACTGCTCGCAGCTTTCAGCCAACCATACGCTCTAATTATCAATTGAAACTACAATTTTATGCTTTTTTACACGCTTAAAATATTGTAGTTTTTAACAAAATTACCCCTGATTTTTATTTTATTTTCTAGTTTTTTTTTTACTCTTTTTTCTCCTTTTAATTGCAGCAAATCCGTGCCAGCAAAGAGAGAGAGATATAGAGAGGGAAAGGGAGGGGAAGAGTGGTATAATAATTACTAGTTTCTTCGTATTTTTTGTTTTTGTAATTTTCGCTAGTTTACTTTGCATTTCAGCATATAAATAATTATTATCTGCGCCCAGCAATATACAGTGTGTACGAATATATTTATAAACAAATAAAGCACAACACGCTAACATCATCTGCCCTCAGAGCAATCCCTTGCTTTTAATATAGCATACCGATGATAATCATGACGATCTACAACGCACGGTTGCCATGGGATTCTGTCAATGACTTGAAGATGTCTGAAAGTTTGTGCCATAGAGAAGACGCACATTGTCTTAAGAAAAGGTTTTAGAACTCTGTGTTATAGAAGAGACTTATGAGATTATAAGCTGTGCCATACACCAATAACCAGCAGGGGAGAACTCATTCTATGAGTAACAGAGGTTTGCAGTTTATCGTTTTAGGCAAAATTAAAACAGCAATATTAAAATTACCAGAACTGTTTTAAAATTTGCTTTTAAAAAAGAATTAAAAAAAAGGATTTTGATAAAAAATTTGAGTTCAAAATATTAAGAAAAAAAAGTTTGCAATTTTATTATTATTATTATTATTATTATTATTATTATTATTATTATTATTATTATAATTATATTATAATTATTATTATTATTATTATTGTTATTTTTATTACTATTATTATTATTATTATTACTATTATTATTATTATTATGGGTGCAAATGGTTGTTGTTGTTGTTTTTGTTGTTGTTATTTTTATTATTATTATCATTATTACTTTATATAACAAAAAAAAAATATGGAGATCCTTAGCAACCATAATTTAAGGATGTAAATAGCCTAACTACTTTATATAATAAAATTAATTTAGGTTAAGTTATGTTGTGGTTCCTGTCGATCTGTCCCATCGATTTCACTTAGGCCTGACTACTATTCATTGTAATGCCACAAAAATTTGACCAACCAGATTCATTATCCAGACATTTTGTTGTTCTAATGAATCTCGTTAGATCCATGGCTTCGCCATCGGCTATCTTCATTAGACCATTCAGCAGATTCCAGAATACCGAAACTTAGCCTTACTAAAAGCAAGACAGTTGCAGAAGAGATGGGTGATCATTCCCCCCTCCTTATCATCCTTGCAGCAGCTGCATGTATATATCTTCTCTTTTTAAAGGGTACCTATCTCATGATCTCTTCTTATTCCATTTTGATCACCTCCGAACGACTGATGGTTTTTTTACGAGGAGCTTTTATTTCATGTCCGAAATACACAAGGAGTAGTGGACATTCCCTGCCACAGTTACAACTGCTGACAACAGCCTTACAGTTTTCTGTGAGGTATCTGTATCTAAGGATCCACGGCCGTTTCGCATTCAGCCGCGATTTTATTTAACATTTTTGTGTTTCTCTGTTGGCAAAAAGTATCTTATTCACATCAATTGCAAATGGTACTGAGAGAATCCAACAGCCAGGCTGGCATCATGTTTCGAGCCGTCGATAAAGACGGCTATCCATACCCACTTCCGCTGTAAGGTAGGCCTGTCATAAGAAACAGCTAAAATTCGGATTTTTATCCTACCAAGAATTGTCCCTCCCACAATATTCGCCGGAAATATATTTGAGAGAAAAAATTTTACGTAAATGGAGCTTATTGGGTTGTGGAAAAATCAAAATATGAAAAACTGGAGATTTTAATTTTTTTCCAACCGATAAAAAAATCTAAATTAAAAATTGGGATTGATCGATTTTTCGATTGTACGTTTTTTCACTTTAAAACTATTTATACTAAACTTCAATTTTAATTTTTATTTGTGCTTATTTTTGAAGCCCAATTTCGCAACTATCTATCTCACACACACCACTGCTTTTGTGCCATTTTCGTATTTCCACTCACACATTTTCCGCAGCATTTAATTGCTGATTTAATGGTTTTTATGGTGATTCTTATTGTTATTGTATTGCGGTGATGGTTGTCACAAAATATGGTGGAAAATATAGCGCAAAAGCGTACACAAAAGCACAACAACAAATGTATATTTAACCATAAATGAATGCTCGTATGTATGTCTGTATAGATGTACATATGTCAGTTAAATTGCTGCGCTTGCACACGCTAACTCAACGAAATGGAACGGTACCTTTTACACTGTCACAGTGCACCGCAACGTTAGCTGGAGCGCCTACTTCGCGCGCACACACACATATATGTATGCATAAGCACATTTATAGCGATAACTTTACTACATACATTTAGCCCACCATGCCAATTGGGTTTGGCCAATTCAACTGCGTTTTGTTCTGTTTGTTTATACATATGTAAATATTTATTTATTTGTTTTGCTTTGTTTTGTTCGCCATGACTTTTGTATGCAATTAAATGCGATTATTTCCGCCGCAATCATAAATAAATAATTTTTCACCGCACTCAACAAACAATGGCAAATTTGTGTGCTAAAATATTTGTATGTGCATTTGTATATATATTATATTTGCATATGTATATATATGTGTGCGTGTATGTGCTTTCATATCATCCATCTATTACTGTGTTGACCGGCAAACGTTAATTGTGGCGCCGGACTGCATTCAACAATTAAATTCAAATCAATTTTAAGTGCTACGCAAATCTTTTGCTATTAATTTTGGGTAGTTAAGGAAAAAGGGTGTGCACGCTTCGACTCCAAAACTTTCCACAAGCAAATTATTATATATTACTTTTTTGCTCTGACTGCTTTGGCTGCTCGCTAATGTCCTCGCACAGCCTTTCTTTTACATTTAATTTACTTTTTTTGTTTTTTTTTGTTTTTGTTTTTGGAGCAATTTGAAGTTAATTGCGCACAATTTATTATAATTTTCACATTCATTGTAAGCAATTGGCAGTGATTTATATGCGTTCCACAAGAAATAAAGTGTTTAAATGCGCTTTTATTAGGTCCAAATTGAAACTTAATTTGAGGCTGATGGATGGTTGAATTACTTAATAAAAGTTAAAAATTATTGTAATTATTTTTTTTGATTTCATTTGCAAAAAAAGTTATCAGCAATCTCATAATTTACAAATGCCTTAATGTTTTATTTATTTAACAAAATAAAAATTGTGTAGATTTAATCTGGACATTACCAACATTTGGCTCTCTTAATTTTTATATTTCTACTTTTATTTTCGTTGTTTTTTTATTTGTCTCTTTTATATTTATTTTCATTTTTCAAATATCTTCAGTCATACTACATACACGTACATACATAAATAAATTGAAAAATATTTTCTCCAACACTTTTTACTACAGCATTTAAAGGCATTAAACTCACCCATAAGCGGACATCGGGTCGTATGAGTAATATCCCGTGGTGGGCTGTAAACCAGCGGATGTCCAAGCAGTCATTTCAGTGCCAGTTGTTGAATCTTTTAATGCATATGGATTGCTCTGCAAATAAAAGAAAAAAAGCAGAATAAAAATTAACTGATTTGACTGCCGCAATCAAATTTTATGTAAACAATAATATTTTTTTCATCTTCTTTCAAACAAAACCGAAGCCAACTCAGTTCTTACATTTAAGATAAGTACATGTGTATATGGTTATATAAAAATTTCGTTTTTACCCCAAATGCCCTCGTTAATATTAAATCGTAAAAAGATTTTGTTAAATGTTAAAAATGGACTTTACTGTTCCAATCGTAGCAAGCAGCCATTTTCAAATTAACTTTAATGCTGAGTTTGTGCTTTTTTTTATTTTTTCAACATTAGTAATTTTACTTCGTTTCCATAACACGATACTCCTCCGATGGCTGTACCGATTTTAATGAAATGTTAGGTGCATATTCAGTAAGTCTGGGAATCGGCAATTTTCTATTATTGCACTGGGAAGAGGACCTGAGACTGATTTATGCGAAAGAATCTTAATTATGGTTCGATTTATTGTACTTTAAATGTATGTAGATTTTTGCGTAGATTAACAAGAAGACACTTCTTTTCTATTGACAGGGCTGCTGAGGGTAAGCGACTGCATGTCTACTGAGTTACAAGGCGCAAGCGCATTGAGGGAAACGAAAGAGTTGTTGAAATCACCAAAAAAAAAGTATTCGGCAGGCGTGATAAATGCAAAAAATTTGGCAACAGATCTGGGAGACTCATCAGGATGAGATAGATATGCTAAGCCGTTTCCGAAAGGCAGCGAAAGGGGTGAATGTCTATTTTTACTCTCGACGTCGTGAAATAACTGTAGGACGATTGTGAATCGAATAGCAGACCATATTCCACTGACGCCATATGAAATGGACATTACAGTGATGCGTGCAAAAAACGCAGGAACGCAGGCTTGAGGAAACCTTTAGAACACCTCTTATGTTTGCTTGGCCTTATCAAGTTGAACATCAAATCAATTTGCAGTTCAGAGAATTCGCAATTCTGAAAATTTTATATCAGCACGTATTGAATTGGACTTCCATCTGGCATTTTAAGGAGCTAGCAGATGTATGTAAGCATTGTAATCAGCCAGTGCAATCTAAACTGATCGATCCGAAACAAGTCCTTGAGCTGAATAATAAAATATTCTCAGTCACTACACATAGCCTTTGTCCGTCTTAATTTCAGTTGTATTTTACTGAAAATTTGTGAATGCAATTACTATGGACTATGGAAGAATAAAGACCTGCTACTTAACATATACATATATCAAACACAGTGGGATGGCGATACTAAACGACATAGCAATCTCTGCCTGTCCGACCGTCCTTCCATCTGTGTTTTGCATAACTTAAGTATGCTTTCGTCCCTTGCTCCCTGACTTAATGGGGGGACTAAGCGAAACTGACGGTCGTTGGTCCAGAATAAACCGATGTAAGTATAACAGCTACTTTATATCGATCTATGTTCAGATCTGTCAACAATAATTAATGTGTGTCAGAATGTCTGTTTCCAACAACAAAATTTTTTGCGGGAAATTTTGATTTTCTATTCCAATTGGTTGAAAAATGCAGCTGAATCCCATTCACAAGCACTCGAAGTTCATTGGTGATGGGATATGCAGGAAATGGTTTCCATGCTTCAAATGTGGTGATTTTTGATTTCGAAGAAAAATAGCGTCCTGGACAACCCCAAACTCAAAAATGTATAAGATGGGGAATAGAAAGCTTTACTGTATAGAAACACTGCATTGAATGAAAAACGGTGGCTAAAAGCAACCGAAGTCATGCCGAGGTGATTTTGCTACCGCATGCATATCGAATGAGGCGAAGTTCCCCTCGGCAGTCGGGTCTTTATATCGGCGCAACTACGGTTTTCATGCTGCCAAGGGTTGCCACACCCGCATTATTCCCGAAAAACTTCTGACAAGCAACAAAAACGACAACAACCAGTTAATATAATATTTGCAATATGACAACGCACGGACTCAAGTGGCTATAACAGTCAAACCTGGAAACACTGAAATAGAAGATCTTACCCCACCCGGCGAATTCTTTAGACCTTGCACCTTCCGAGTGCGCGCTTTTTCGAAGAATGTAAAATGGTTTGAGGACTTGCCGGTTCGGGTATTTTCGAAAAACTAAAAAAATACTGAATAACTGGATCGGAGCAGGCAGAGAGGCCTCGTTTTTTAGAAACAATTTTCCAAAATTACCAGACGGATGTTAAAAGGTAGAGGCTTCCGAAGTAGAATACTGTGAATGATGTATTTTTTACTTTTTTTGAACACAAAAACCGGCCAAAATTAATATGGGTTCCCAAAAAAAAAATTATTTGCAATGTTAAATGTTTAAATAGTTTTAGGATATAGCACGACTTTCCACAGATTTTTCACCACTTTTTTCCCCCTTTTTCAATACAATCTTGGCATTTTTTCTTTTTTGTCGCACAAATCAAATCCTCTAAGCATACTTTATTTGTTGGTTTAAAAAAAAAAAGCTTACACGTACGCATGTGATTACATTTCAATAACGAAAATGGCAACAAACGTATTAAAACATCGATTGTTTGCTTAATATGTATGTTTGGTGTTGGAGAATTAATCAATTACAACGTTGTAAAATGTAAAAGTCGCGCGCGCTTAAACGGGTAATAGAGATGTGACTGGTAATGGAGATGGCTGAACAAATAAATGCACAAATAAATGCACAAATAAATACACAAAAAAGCTAAAGCACACATACCACAGAGACACATATTTACAATTACAACAAAAAGACAAAAAAAAACGCTATAACAACGCTATTAACGCCATTTATAGGCAATGTCCCATTAACAGTATGCGGCAAATGTGGTGTTGTTGCTAATAGTTGAACAAACATACATACATACATACATACTTAGACGTAAACAGCCTATAAAATGGATATTTATGTACAATATAAACATATATATTTATATATGTAAGTGTACGTGTATGTAGCACCAAACCGCCTGCCCTCCACCGCCGCTGCCACTACTAAGAAGCAATCAATTACGTAATCGTAAATGTTTGCGAAAATATTTTTCCCACAGTTTTTACGAAATGACAAAAAGGCTAATTGCATAAAATTTCGATTAAAACAAATACATGCATAACATACATATATTAAAAAACAATAAATTAAGAAAAACCATTTTGTTGATGACAATAGCAGCAGCAGCAGCAGCAACTACAGCAACAACAATAGCAACTATATTCATAAATATGTATGTATAAATAAATTAGAAATTAAAATGTATAATTCAACAACAAATTGTCGCACAGGCGCACCAATACACAGAAATATACATAAATATTTACACACATACATACACAAACACAAACCTGCTCCGCCATTGTTTATTGCTAATTATTTTTTCTTTATTTTTGAACGCCTAAACAAAAAAAATTAAAAAAAAAATTTAAAAAAATTTAAAAAAAAAATTAAATTAAAAAATTAAACAAATTTATTGCTGAAAAAAGTTAAATTTTTGTACACAATTATTTTGTTTAGTAAATTTATGAAAATGTTGACATGCCCAACGTTTTGCATATAATTTTCGAATTTTTTTCTAGCCATTTTCGGTCAAACAAAACGTTCTCTCACGCTCACGCAACACGCCACGGTAGAGCGACCATTTTTGTCAATTTATTTATTTTTTTTTTCATGAATTCATAAACATGAATTTATTTCGATTCAAGCGCATGTATTATATGTATGTGCGTGTGTGCGTTCACATTGAATTTATTTCATTCGAAAATTGTCAAAAATTTATTGTCTCATGTAAAACCAATGGCCACATCGCGTACAGTCTGTTGTCTGCTGTTACGAGCTCACAAATGGCGTTGACAGTGCTGTTGGCTGAGAGGCGCGCTGTACGAGTTCATCTGCTGTTGTTGCGTATGGTATTCTTTTCACTTCTTTTTTTCTTTTTTTTTTTTGTCAAATTTCAATATGATTTCAATTGCTTCATTCCATTTGTTTTACTTTTACTTTTGTTTTTGTTTTGGGTTACGGCTTTGTCGGTTTGTTGGTCATTTGATTTATAAAACATAATTAACATTTTTAATTGCTTTAACATGATGTTAAGCAGCTGTTATATTAATTTCTAAAAATCAGTTTCATACCTCCGTTGACACGCCGTTAAACGTGTGTATTTATCAATTGACATTTATTAAAAGCATGTTTTACACGAAAGCGTGATTTATTTGTAATTAGCGCAAGGAAGTGTTTAGATGCGGATTCCGAGAATTGTGACAATCTTAACAAAATGGCAAACAAGAAATTTTTTCGTAGTTATTTTGAGAGAATGTTAATTTTTATAGACAACTCTAGAGACATTTTAGGGAGGACAAGGTTTGAATATTAGATGAAATCCCAATGTTGGAGAACCATTAGACTGATATATATTCAATTCAGCCGCGTATGATGTTCAAATCTACAGAAATTGGAGCTTTTTTTGTGACACGAAAATCTTGTTGCTTCAGAAAATATAAAAATTTCTTGGAAATTGAACTGATAGAACTGAAGAGTCTTCCTTTGTATTTCTTATCGTAAATACCAACAATATACCTTGATTCCACAATGGTTTCATCTATCGTCTACTTTTCTAACTACCTTTAACTAGCATTCGCAATGGGTTAGTTTTTCGGTTTGTGAACTGCTTAATTTAACGAATGAAAATAAACTGGAAAATATTGAAAACTTATTTTCACAGTGGTGAGTTTTTAATTGCGATTTGCAAGAACATTTTCTATCATGAAATTGAAAATTGAACTCAACTGGTCACCTCGCAGCTATATTGGACTACTTTTTCTGGGGAGCTGCTGAGAATATGTGCTACGTCAACCATCCAGGAACGGTTCATGACTTGAAACATCAAATGTCAGTCGCCGTTGCAGACATTGAAAGCCACACAACTGAAAAAGTGTTGTCCGAAAGACAGAAAGGAATGAGCGATAGCAATATGAATGAACCGGAATGTTGAAGCATTCACAG